AAAATAATTAGTTGAGAATTAATTATTATTTAAATAATGTGATTTTTTAAATTTGAATTTGAACACATCTAGATTTATCCATTTAAACTTATTTGATAAGTTGTTCAATTTAGAATTCAAATTAATTTAAGTTTGACTTAAATTTGAATTTGAATTTGAAATAAAATTGGACTACAGGATAAAGGATGATTTTCTCTTCCTTCCCTATCCAGTATTGGCGCCACACACAGGGATGGGAATCCCTAGCATGACCGGCCACAAGGGATAAGGGATAGAGGAGAATTTTGGTTCGAAATTCAAATTGGAGATAGAGATTAGATTCCTTCTAGAAGTTTGACTTCTACTCTATAAATACTATTTTTGAGACAATTTTCGGAATAGTTTTTTGCCCTAATTTTAGAGGTGGCCGAAATTTCTCTATAAAAAGAAGGAAACAATTTTTCAGCCCTAAGGGTTAAGACTGGCCGAAATTCTCAAGAGAGAGCGGAAGGAAAAAAAATTTTCTCCAAAAATTCCACATCGTGCATGCGTTGGTATTTGTGGAAATTCGAGTGTTTATTGTAACCCGTTTTGTCTCATGTGTGCCCACACACACGTCTTCGTGGATTCTAGAAATTGACGTGGAAGACATTGGTTTTCTAAACACAAAGATTGGAGCAAGGACTGTTCGTGGTCAAAGAACTCAAGTTATCATCCGAGTCGGCTTCCAGGTATTTTTTTTCTGATTGAGTTCTTAATAAATGAATTAATGAGATTAATTTATTCGTACATAAATTAATATAATCTATAGAGTATCTCAAAGGTTTTGTGAAAATTTTTGTTATACACGATCCGCCCTTCCCCGCACCACCACGCTTCCGCATCCGGATTCGATCCGGAGACCAACATATAATGGGAGTGACTCACTTAAGACTTGTTAGCTAAAATAACATTCTAACTATTTTAGCTAAAATTTCAAGAGTTTTCTTGAAGATGCTCCAACAAAATCATTAAAATTTCAAATCTTCAAAATAATTAACAAACACAAAATTTTCAAGCAAATCACGCTCAAGTATCCAACACAACTAAAGATTCAACCATTTAGCATAATTACACTACATAATAAAATTTCATACCTTGAGTTGAACTTTAGCAAAATTTTCATAATATTATAAATATAATAAAAATGACATAGTCAATATCATAATGATGTCATGTTTTACACTATACAATGATATAGTCATTATTAATGATATTAAAATTTTACTATTCTTGTAATATTTTAAAAGTTTGATATATTTAAACTCTACTATTTAAATTTTGCTATATTGCTATATGTGTAAAGAGCCCAAATATTTAAGTACATAAAACATCTAAAGGACATAACACAATACAAGGATGAAAATGTCCACGACATTGCCATGACATTGTCCATATTTTGAAGTCTCAACATGAATATGAGGGGGGAAAGATATTCTTCCCGGTGTGTCTGCTAAATGTCTGTAATGTCAAAAAAAATCCATAAAATCTGTAAATATCCGTAAATATTCAGGATATTTTTAGAAATGTCCACAAAATGTCCAAAAACCTTGGGAAAATTTTTTTTAATAAAAATTAATTTTGTAGCACATGTTTTCATATTTTTTTAATAAAATGTGACAACATGGTTTAAATAAAAAGCAAATATTAAGACTTAATTAGTATTTTAAAAAATATATACTTTTTAAATAAACCATTTGTAAAACGACGTGGTTTGATTCAATTGAGTCAAACTGATGAGGATTTTGTAGCCTTGAGTTTTGATTACATGAGCTTAGAAACTGAGCAAAGTTCATATGACTATTCATACAGTTCTCACATAGGATCTAATTCAGAAGTACAAAACCAAGACGATTTGTATGATATATTAGTATATGCTCCACCAGAGGTCAGTGTTGAAATGTCATTACACATCCCTAAAGTCATCAAGTTTGATAAACTAACAATATCCAATATTTATGGGTTAACAATAGGAAGAGATCAAGAAACATACATGTGGCACATCAACAACTACATCTAGAATTATTCAAGGGTAATATATTAACAAATGTATTGTTTAGATCAAGATCAGAACCTACCTAATGCTTTCCAACTTGTTAGAAACTCATTTTGGCACTGAAAGTATTTTAATATCGTGTGTATTCTATTATGTTTGGTAGTTAATTTCTATGTAGTAGGCTGAATTATGGTTCCTTATTCATAATGAGTATTTAAAATTATAAAATTATATTTGAATCATAATCCATATATAATTATGATAATTTCTTATTATACTATTCGATATAACTCTCATATTCCAATAGAAAACGTATTATTTTTATTATTAAATTAGTTCAAATTAAGTAATATTAATTGTTTTAGCATTTTATACAATTTTAATGAAAATTTTAACGGTTTTCTCGATGTATCCATTTTTTCTTCGAATATCTGTCGACATTATCCTTAAATCAAAATCTCGACAACCCGGTCGACATTTTCATCCTAGCACAAATATACAGGTGTCACGTTAAGCGTGTTAGATAAGTTTGCCTCAAACCAGTTTAATTTCGTGTTAAATGTGTAAACCTTATTTTTATTCAAATGTTGTAATAAATGGTCCAACTGCAATTATTTGGTGCCTTGTTGTCGCACCCAGAAATTGACGGCCCTTTATTGAACACTAATTCACCCAAAAACATGAGGGCTCTTTTACAACTTTGGACCCATTATTTCAAAAGATGAGCCCAACTTTAGAACCCTAGTTGGGCTTTTTCCTGGGCCAGCACTGATTTCGTGAACCTTTTGGGCTAGTCCTAAGGGGCATTTGGGATGCAATAATCTTAAGAATGAGAATAAGAATTTACAATATTATCATGTTTGGTATGAGAATTATAATTTTTAGATTTCTAAGAAAGTAATTATCATGGGATTCACTTTTTCTTATTTTAAGGTAATTTGAATACCACCCAACATGGTATTATTCAAATTCCTAGAAATCTCAAAATCATGAGAATCTTACCCTCACACCTAGTGCAGCTTACCACACCGAGAACGATGAGCACGAGAGAGCTTCCGAGCCC